AAGGTAATCATGTCATTGTTTTGCATGCCACAACCCATGATATGGGGCTTATTTGTGGATGTGGGCTAGTTTTCGAGGCAAAAATGAAAACTGGTAATTTTCATAAGGAAATTATAGGAAGTGATGTGTTCATAGACTGGTTGGAACTTCAGCTATTGCCCATTTAAAACAACATCAGTGTCATTGTCATGGATAACGCCAGTTAATACAACGTCTGGGAGTCAGATACTGTCACCCAAACCATGAGTAGTCTGAAGGCGACCATACAGGAATATATGAGATTGTAGACTTCAGACCATCTGAAACGAAAGTTCAGCTCATGGATAATAATCGGCTGAATAAGAAACCAGTAAAGTACAAGACATATGTGCTGGCAGCACAACACTGTCACGTTGTCTTACGTACGCCAGTCAGACATTGTGAGCTCAACCCTGCTGTGCCCATCTTCGCTGAGTGTAAAGGGTTTGTGGCAAGACATAACACCACATTCAAAAGTGTAGATTCATACATGTCATCAGCGTAGATAAATGCTACCTCAAGAAATCATCCGTAGAACAACAAATACTTCTGGATTCCAAAACCGCAACCTTCCAACACCCATCCCGTTTCATAGCCCTTAACTATTCCATCATGTTTCCAAGCAAATATAATGCAGTACATATCCTAAATTGCTAATCCATTACCCCACATGTTAATTAAGTACAATAACAGCAATATTTTGAGACCACCCCCAACTCGGGTGACATTTGCACCTGTGAGAATGCACGGGACAGTGTGAGGTTATCATCTCAGGACAGGTGTCAGGTAATTACCTCAGGTTCCATGCCATTTCATACATGCATGACAACACACAAATATTTTCTAAGTTGATCATCATTTTTCCTGTAAAGGTACATGTTAAGGGTAATCAAAGTGTCAGTTAGGACAGGCTAGATTACGGCAATTTGTGTTATTTTGATATATGCTCTTTTTATAGTCCTAGGCTATGACTCGTATTTATCAAATGAAGCCAGAAAAGCAGTATACTTTAGGTATTTTGTTTCAGGGTCTGTGTGAGACTGACCAATCCTCTCAATACAACACCAGCTGCTGCCACCTGTCCCATCAAAGGTGAGTGAGTGAGTGAGTATGGTTTTACGCCGCTTTTAGCAATATTCCAGCAATATCACGGCGGGGGACACCAGAAATGGGCTTCACACATTGTGCCCATGTCGGGAATCGAACCCGGATCTTCGGCGTGACGAGCGAACGCTTTAACCACTAGGCTACCCGACCGCCCCCCCATCAAAGGCCAGCTCCATTACTGTAAATCCAAAATGGACACTTGTTTTAATTTCTCAGACTTGGCTTAACCCAATAAACTACCTCCTGTCCAGCTTCCTGGATCAGGACAACAGAGTCCTCACAATGATGCTGCAAGAGTCATCAGTGTTGCCTGCTGACTACCACAGCAGAACATCCAACCATGTAGGCAGGCAGGCAGAATAGTAGCCTCTGCTATTTTCAAGTATGATTTTCAAAATTTCAATATTTTTTTTATTTTTTTTTACAAATATTTTCTCTATTTTTATTTTTGTTTCAACTAATGAATTCATAAAAAAAAATTTCTTTGATACCATAACAGATCAGTCTGATCATGATACTCGACCTTCAGTCGAGATGAGCTAAATCAATTATATCAAAGTGGCCATACTGGATTATTTACACATAATACAGCTGTAACATTTAATAATATAGTCTTTGCTCACTCACCCGCTACACAAGTTTTGAAAACATTGTTTGTTTGTTGCTAAACGCCATACTCAACAATATTCCATTTGACCTCAGTCTGTAAATAATCAAATCCGGACCAGACAATCCTGTGATTGACAATACGAGCATCTATTTATACAATCAGGATACGATGACATGCATCATCCAAGTCACCGAGCCTGACCACCCGATCCTTTTACTCGCCTCTTATGACAAACATGGGGTGCTGAAGACCTATTCTGAGCCAGGTCTTCATATAGGATATATACATCAACTTTTAACATGGCTCACAGAAAAAAAATTCAATTTTACATCAGCCTCTTAATTTCCAGCCTTACACGTGAGGTTCATGACCATGCAATTACAACAAAATATCACATCCATTAAGATTTACCATTAATGCGCAATAATCACAAGTATCCAAATCTACTTCGCTTTCATTAAAAAATTCAAATTTCAGAAATACTAAAGTCTTAACTATCATAACTATTTCAAGAGTCATAAAGAAAATCAAGGGATTTAATGCAAAATTCATTTTCACAATAAATCCTGAGATTGTGTTGCAGTTGGCTGTCATATTTTATTGATTTGTTCTCTGCTTGTTAACGTCAATCATATTCATGTCAATGGTTCCAATTATATTCAGGCCTGCCTGGTCTAATATCTGGATCCATGCACTAATATAACTGACTGAATCCATGCACTGTCTACTGTTAAACATAACAATAGCTTGCCTAACTATGCTCGGTCAATAATTGTTGCATTTGTGAAAACAATCTACTCATGAATAAAAGTAGATCTTATCAACACGGCGTAGCATTACAAATATATGAGTTATCAATCTGGGATGAAATATTAACATGATGAGGCAATACTTTTAAAATTTACTGGTTTATGGATTTTTAGACACTAAAGGACATGACACTTGGAAAACCAAATCTGAAAAACACAAAAAGGGTTGTGAAAAACAAATGTCAATACATGCTACATCTGGCTGCAGATAATGTTTTTCTTCCCATGGAGATTTCAGGGTAGAATAATCCCCAACAGAACATGCTTGTCTCCTGTAGAGATTCTAGGTCCCCAGTTCAACATGCTTGTCTCCTGTAGAGATTCTAGGTCCCCAGTACAACATGCTTGCCTCCTGTAGAGATTCTAGGTCCCCAGTACAACATGCTTGTCTCCTGTAGAGATTCTAGGTCCCCAGTACAACATGCTTGTCTCCTGTAGAGATTCTAGGTCCCCAGTACAACATGCTTGTCTCCTGTAGGGATTCTAGCTCCCCAGTACAACATGCTTGCCTCCTGTAGTGATTCTAGGTCCCCAGTACAACATGCTTGTCTCCTGTAGAGATTCTAGGTCCCCAGTACAACATGCTTGTCTCCTGTAGAGATTCTAGGTCCCCAGTACAACATGCTTGTCTCCTGTAGAGATTCTAGGTCCCCAGTACAACATGCTTGCCTCCTGTAGAGATTCTAGGTCCCCAGTACAACTTGGCTGTCTCCTGTAGAGATTCTAGGTCCCTAGTACAACATGCTTGTCTCCTGTAGAGATTCTAGGTCCCCAGTACAACATGCTTGTCTCCTGTAGAGATTCTAGGTCCCCAGTACAACATGCTTGTCTCTTGTAGAGATTCTAGGTCCCAAGTACAACATGCTTGCCTCCTGTATAGATTCTAGGTCCCCAGTACAACATGCTTGCCTCCTGTAGTGATTCTAGGTCCCCAGTACAACATGCTTGTCTCCTGTAGAGATTCTAGGTCCCCAGTACAACATGCTTGTCTCCTGTAGAGATTCTAGGTCCCCAGTACAACATGCTTGTCTCCTGTAGAGATTCTAGGTCCCCAGTACAACATGCTTGCCTCCTGTAGAGATTCTAGGTCCCCAGTACAACATGCTGGTCTCCTGTAGAGATTCTAGTTCCCCAGTTCAACATGCTTGTCTCCTGTAGAGATTCTAGGTCCCCAGTACAACATGCTTGTCTCCTGTAGAGATTCTAGGTCCCCAGTTCAACATGCTGGTCTCCTGTAGAGATTCTAGTTCCCCAGTACAACTTGGCTGTCTCCTGTAGAGATTCTAGGTCCCCAGTACAACATGCTTGTCTCCTGTAGAGATTCTAGGTCCCCAGTACAACATGCTTGTCTCCTGTAGAGATTCTAGGTCCCCAGTACAACATGCTTGTCTCCTGTAGAGATTCTAGGTCCCCAGTACAACATGCTGGTCTCCTGTAGAGATTCTAGGTCCCCAGTACAACATGCTTGTCTCCTGTAGAGATTCTAGGTCCCCAGTTCAACATGCTGGTCTCCTGTAGAGATTCTAGTTCCCCAGTACAATATGCTTGTCTCCTGTAGTGATTCTAGGTCCCCAATACAACATGCTTGCCTCCTGTAGAGATTCTAGCTCCCCAGTACAACATGCTGGTCTCCTGTAGAGATTCTAGTTCCCCAGTACATCATGCTTGTCTCCTGTAGAGATTCTGGAGCAATGTAGGTACCCAGAACTCAGTACCCTCATTCCATGTTTTCTTTGGACCAAATGGTTCACGATTTTCTTAAGTCTTTTGAACAATCTCACTGTAACTATCAACTGGACTCTTGCTTGGGGATTGTCTAAATGAGCAAAAATTCATCCTTACTGTACTTCCTTGTGAGCAAGTCTTTCTCACTTCAACTTCTTAATCTGTTGTTGACTCTCGTCAACATATTTCACCACACTAAATTGCTCTTTTTACAGGGCAGAATTGCTGTAACGAGATTGCTATATCAGAGCCTAATCAGTTGTTTTGGAAAGATTCACCAGGACTACAATGAAGCCAAATCCCAGACCTAATCCAAACTCTATTACCATATATATTGAGCGCAGAACCAATCCAGCGGCAATTCCATTAGTCTCTCCTTCCTGGCATTATCCCGCTGGCCTTCAATGGACATCAGCATCTTGGTTACCTCTCGGGGTCACAAGTGACTGCGGTTACCGTAGCCCCTCATCAGTTTGTAACCCCTTATCAGTTTGAAGCCCTCGTCAATTGGTGGCCCCTTGTCCATTGATAGCCATCTTCCATTGGTGGCCCTTGTCCAGTGATGGCCCTCATCCTTTGGTGGCCCCTCATCCATTGGTTTGCCCCTCATCCATTGGTGGCCCGCATCCATTGGTGACCCTCATCCATTGGTGGCCCTTCATCCATTGGTGGCCCTTCATCCATTGGTGGCCCTTCATCCTTGGGTTTGCCCCACATCCATTGGTGGCCCTTCATCCTTTGGTGGCCCCCTTATCCATTGGTGGCCCTTCATCCATTGGTGGCCCCCTTATCCATTGGTGGCCCTTCATCCATGGTGGCCCTTCATCCATTGGTGGCCCTTCATCCATTGGTGGCCCGCATCCATTGGTGGCCCGCATCCATTGGTGGCCCTTCATCCATTGGTGGCCCTTCATCCATTGGTGGCCTTCATCCATAAAAGGCCCCTCATCCGTTGGTTTGCCCCTTATCCATTGGTGGCCCTCATCCATTGGTGGCCCCCTTATCCATTTGTGGCCCTCATCCATTGGTGGCACCCTTATCCATTGGTGGCCCTTCATCCATGGTGGCCCTTCATCCATTGGTGGCCCTTCATCCATTGGTGGCCCGCATCCATAGGTGGCCCCCTTATCCATTGGTGGCCCTCATCCATTGGTGGCCCTTCATCCATTGGTGGCCCTTCAGCCATTGGTGGCCCCTCATCCATTGGTGGCCCTTCATCCATTGGTGGCCCCTCATCCATTGGTTGCCCTCATCCATTGGTGGCCCTCATCCACTGTGGCCCTTCATCCATTGGTGGCCCTCATCCACTGTGGCCCTTCATCCATTGGTGGCCCCTTGTCCATTGGTGGCCCTTCATCCATGGTGGCCCCTCATCCATTGGTGGCCCTTCATCCATTGATGGCCCCTCATCCATTGGTGGCCCTTCATCCATTGGTGGCCCCCTTATCCATTGGTAGCCCTAAAAAAACCTGATTGAAACAGCCGATTTGACGGCTGAATCACCGCAGAAGCTAATATTTTTAGAATAGTACTTCTTTTACAATCATTGTCGGTAGGCATATCTAAATACTTATATGTACAAATATATGCTACAAAATGAATAGTTGCGGTTACAATGATATTTAAAGGATGTATGGCAATACATTTAGTGCAGGAAACATATTTAAAGGTTTGAATACAACAGAGAGTTTGCTATTTAGAGTTTTCAATGTATGACTGTGACGTCAACTCAATGCATCAGAATGAGCGATGTGATGTCATAATGGTGACATGCCTAGTTTTCTGTAGGGATGCCAACCTCATGTTTGCTTACGACATTGCTGTGCTACATGCTTTCAGCGCCTGTCATAAATTTGTGTGATGTATTGTGGTGTAAACAAACTGCTTGAGCATTTACAGCGCCATATTTGGTTTTAAAGCTGTTGTCATTGATTCCGTAAATTGTGATCGACAACCCACTCAAAACACTGACTCAACCCATGCCGCTTCACTCAGTATATTTGCTAACACCGAAGAGTTCAGGTTTTATTTAGTCATGGTAGAATGGAGATACATAAACATACTGTGTTTTCAATGAAGGGCTAGGTTACCTGGAGGTTTAACCACGCTAAATTAAACATTTGAGACCTCACGCTGTGCTTTCGGGTCCAAATTCAATTTAACATTGTTAAATCACCAGGTAACCTAGCTCTATATTGAAAACACAGTATGTTGATCTCCTATGTGACCGAAGCAAGGTCCTGCTGTGCACAGTTCTGCACCAAGTGAGTGAGTGAGTTGGGTTTAATGCCGCTTTTAACAGTATTCCAGTTATATCACGGCGTGTCAGCTTAATGTGGGAGGTAAGCTCGAAGTGATGCAGGTCTCAGACATTTACCACTTCGGTGACACCCACGAGCATGGGTATGGTGCTGACAAACCTAGAAACATAATCGTGGTGAACCGTGATTCGAACCCACAATCATAGGTTCTGGTGTGCCAAAGGGATGGAAATCTGCACAGTGAATTGCAGCGCCTTAGACGACTGGGCCACCAATTCCCCTGCACCAAGTGAATGTTCAGCAGCATGAGATTAGACCAGTAGGTCAACAATGTCAGGTTTGATAACATCTGAACAGCTCCTTCCAGCCATCGAGACTGACTTAGTCCACTGACCAAATAACAAATAGATTTGTAACCACTGGTTGCCACGGAGCCCAGCCGTGTTAGGGAGGGAGATGCTATCATGCAGGCTGATTAAAATACAGGAGTCGCAACTCGTTGGAGGCATGTGGAATAGATCATTTCAGATCTCGTTCTGGGGATTCTAGTCTGGAATAGGTCACCAATGCTTCATACTCTCTCCCCATGAGGATTCTGGGATAGACTAGGCTATCATCATCTTATGCTTGTCTCCATGGATATTCAGGTGCAGAATATGTCAACAGGAAATCAAAATTCATCCCTTGTTTCTTGTAGGAACTTGTATTAACTGATAAAATAATATTGCAACAAATATGACTCATTAAAAATACTATAAGGATTGTTAGGAGTGGAAATCGCACCAAATGCACAGGATTCCTACATAATGAGAAATCCTGAACTACTTTAACCTGAGTTTAAAATATATCACAGCTAATAAGATCAAAGGACTGAATGTGAGCACATACATGCAAGTGGTCTACATTCAGAAGCCATCTATATGTTTGTTTGTTTGTTTGTTTGTTCAACGCCACACCCAGCAATATTCCAGCTGTATGACAATGGTCTGTAAACAATCCAGTGACTGACATCATGAGCATCGATCCACTCAGTTGAGATTCGATGACATGCATCATCAACCAAGACAGCAAGCCTGACCAACCAATCCCGTTAGTCGCCTCTTATGACAAGCACAATCGCCCCTTATGGCAAGCATGGGTTGCTGAAGACCTATTCTAACTCAGATCTTCACGGGTCCCATGTTTATGACTGAGTGGCTGAAAGAGTAAACAGACTGTGTCAGTAACCATTTCCAACAACAAAACCATCAAACCCAAATTATGGTCTTGAAAACCAATTTTCTCATGGTTCCGTCAAAACAAGAATTGTTGAAGAATTGAAAAACATCCATGCGGAGTCGCATATAATTGCAGGGAGTGTGTGCAGTCTAAGCGCCACAGTTGACTTGTAGAGTTGCATCACTTCCTCTTGCAGGATCTGATTTGGGTTCATTGTCCAGATTTATTCTATTTATGATCCTTGGTCTGACTGCACCGTATCCATGGTGACTACAACTTGACCAGCTTTCCTTCCACATTGAGCTGTCACGCCATGATATGTATTCCAATGATCCTATTCTTACTTATCAAACTTCCATGGTCTACTGGATAGAGCATCTACCAGATATTCCAATATTCCAGCGATAGGATGGCAGCCAGAAAATATTCAAGTCTGGACCAGACAATCCAGTGATGGCTAATTGTACAGCACATGTAGAAAGAGAGAGCTACAGAAAGTTACCCACAACTTTCTGTATTTACAATGTTAATAAGAATTATGCTTTTATCTCTTCCATGAATCCATAAAACATGCACATCTTTTTACATTTAAAAAATGAGCAAAGGTCAATACCAGTATTCTTATTTTAATCTTTTAAGTCAGCAATCTAAACCCACTCAGCCACCAAGGCTTCCACAAAAATGAAAGTCCGACAACTGGTAGTCTAGATCACATACTTTGTGTACCCCCCTGACAAGTGTAAATTGGCACGGCTCCCATGGCCGAAAGCTATGAACACACAATGCCATTTAGAAAGTGGTCAAATGTAAGAAATGTTATATTCGGGATAACACTTTCTTTTCTTGTGGAAGCCTCGGTGGCTGAGTGGGTTAGATCGCTGACTTTGTGTGCTGGCAATAAGGTGCCTCACTCTGGCTGTGTGGGTTCAAATCCCGGACGAAACTCAACCCCAAAAAGTATGAGAATCTGTACTTTACCACTTCCTAAATGGCATTGTGTGTTTATTTATATGTATTTTGTCTTTCAAATACAGCTAAGTGCAAACCTTTTAGGTGGAAAAACATCTCATGTAGTGACTTTTCGTTGGTCCCGCAACGCTCACTATATAATTATCATACATTTTATATCTGATAAGTAGAGCCCTTTAAGTAGAAAACCTGCAAACAAAATACATTTCATTGGTCCCCGAGAAACATTACATAGTAAATTGACTTGATAAGTAGAATAGCAGTCAGTGTGGTGGTAAATGCACTATTGACAAATTACCAGATAATTGGAAGTGCTAATCCCCACCCAACACTAGTTGCCCTGTCAATATCCAATCCACAATGAGATGACATTGAGTTCATCACGCTAATGAGCTGTTGTTACAATGAAGAAAGACAAGTTCTATGGATGAACAACTTCTTTATTACAATTAGTGCGACGTTTCGGTGTAGGTCCTAACACCTTTATTTGATGATTGTTACAATAACAAGATAGTAAACATTAAAAGGGGCGTTCAAGGCATGAAGAAGGCATCCCCATGGGCACCAATTGTGCTCCCCTTTCTGTGTTTCTGCTCTGTTTCTTTATGCATATGAATGGGAATTGGCAAAGTCAAAACAAGGTATTTTGGTCAAGAGGTTTAACTTAAGCTTCAGGTATATGGATGATCTTGTATAGTTCAATAACAATGAAATAGCCAATTCCCTTCATTAAAACCTAGTTGCACCTGGCAAAACCAGGTTGCACACTCAGGTCCCATAATTTTATCCATGTTGAATAGGGGTGACTATTGGTCTGGAAATCACTATTGCGTTAACTATTGATATTGAAAGAAACTATTGTGAAAATGTATTGATATTGCAAGCAACTATTGCGATAAATATCGATAGTTTTCAGTGTATCATTTAAGACGGATTTTAGAGTTGAATTAAACCTTGGAACTGAAGTTTTCTTTGAATGTGATAACCATAACAACAAATATAAAGTAAAGTTTCAGATATGACTGATTTGTTTATTCTTTACCCTAATAATTTAAGAAAAAGAAACTTCAACATTACCATGCGTAATTTACTACCACTCATGATCAAATGAAAAACAAATTTGAACAGCATTGCATGTATTTTATTGAAACTTTAAAAGAATCAAAACTATCGATATTCCTAATTGAAATCGATACTATTGATCGAAACTGATTTAACAATCGATTTATTGACTTTAAGTGCTTACCAATAGCGATATATCGATATTTCGATTTATCGTGACACCCCTAATGTTGAAACATGTACATGAACTCTTGATTACTTCAAGCCCTTAAATGCAAGACAAATTATACCATAGAGGGGTGATTGACTTAGTATGGTAAATAAGTTTAGATATATTGACGTGTTCACAGATCAATGTTGCATGGGCATCTTAGGGTGAGAAACAAATTTGGATTTCTTTACATGCACTTGGTGCACGGAGACATAACTATTAGGTAATGTATTAAATAATAGCTTGCACTGGTGCATATTTTATATAGCTAAATGAAGCCTTGATTTAATAAAGTATTTTTTGTGCATGTGAACTTGAGTATAATGCGCACCCCTCATCAGTACAAGTTTGGGGGAAAATTGCTCTTGCATACTATGTACCGTCAAGACTACCTGGTAATAATTGCTACAGG